CAGCGCGATCGTCTTCCCTTAGGGCATATCAGGCCATCAGTGGTACCTGGTATCCCTTCACCAGGGGGAGCCTCTGACCTGCTCAATCAGCTGGGACCTGCACGGTCTGTTCTCTGACCTCTCTGGAAATTGTTTGCTCCGCCCTCTTGGTGGGTTCAAGTTAACCATCTTCTTGCTCTGGGCCGACGTTCACTGTTCCTTCCACGTTAAGTAATTTCTCTCCGGTTGGTGAATGTTTTCCAATGGTCTTGGGCATCAGTTTGGTTCTTAGGCTCCCCTTTCCACTCGTCAGGTTCCCCTATTAGGGAGGGAGATTGGCCTAATCCGGTGTCCGCTGTGGTCATGGTCCTTGAGGCGGCTCCTGGGCTGCAGGCGGTCCTCAGTTTTGGTGTTATCGGGCCTGTTAGCAGTTTTTGTCATTTACTAGGGATGCACGGATACCGATGACTTTGGCGAGTACTTGTCCAAATGCTCCGATAATTACCCCCTATACTGGAACTTCCGGTCAGAGGGAGTGCTGCGAGGGAACATGGAGCCGACTTCCCGGCCAATCAGGAAGCTGGGCTTTCGGTAACGACTCGCGGCTCGGCTTCCTGATTCGCCGGAAAACAGACTCTACGCTGTTTGGTTGGTCCGATGCTGATTGGCCAGGAAGCCGGCATGGGAGCCGACCAAACGGCATGCAGCCGACCAAACAGCATGGGAGCCGGCATCCCGGGCAATCAAAAAGCCGTGTAGCGGGTAATGCTGCCCGACTTCCTGATTGCCCGGGAAGCTGGCTCCAAGCTACCAGAAGTACCGGTGCTCAGTATCGGCGTGTACCAAAATATAAATATCAGTACCACTACTCGATGCCGAAAAACCAGTATCGGTGCATCCCTACTGTTTACCCGCCCCTCCGCTGCACTGCTTTTGGACATCCAGAAACGTATTGACTTCTTGTGTCCCTCAAGAAAACAGGAAGTGTTACACTGACACATTACGGACCTGACCTGAGGAAATATATCCAATGCAATCCCAGACACTTTTGGAGATAAAAATAAATAAATAACATACAAATGGTAAAATAAATGTAAAAATATCGCTCCAATGCAATCCAATGGGGCAAAGGGTCCTGCTGTCGCGGGTCGTGTGTCGCTACAGCAGGACCCTTTTTTGAGCGGATTTAGCCGCGATTCAAGCTTGCTCAACGCAAGCTTGAACGCGACATCGCGCGGCAAATCTCGCGATGTCACGCAATATGCAAATCGTGCGACAAACGCGCGATTTGCATATCGCGCAGTGGGAACGGGGCATAATACGCCGGCAAATACCGATACTTTTGAGCTCCAAGACTCGACTAGAGAAAAATTCAAAAATTAGGAGGCCGCTGTCATGTGTAAGGAGCACGCGGAGCTCCCGGGATTTGTACATCTCTGTATAATGTATGATTTTGTTTTTATAAATATATATATATTAGTGATGCACCAATACCAGTTTTGCGAGTACGGGTACTTCCCGAGTACTAACAAGTACGAGTGCTGATACATTTGTGTTTCGTGTCATGTGACAGTTTTTCTAGAACAATACAGACTAATGATTTCAGGACAGTGGTGGAGCACCGGAGCCCGGTCCCGGCTGCAACCGCTGGGAGTTCTCATGAAAATGCCGAGTATCGGCACGGGTGTCTGGACTGGTACTCGAAAAGTATCTGTGCGTCCCTAATAATAATAATCTGACAACGTTGTTTTTTGGCAAACTGATGCAAAATATTTTATTTCCAAGTTATTAGCTGCTGTGCCGACATTGCCTCACATACAGGTAACCAGTTTTTTTTTTTTTCTTTTCTTTAATCTGTAAATAATGTTATCAAAATAATCTTTTGAAATCTTCCCCCCAGAGAACGGTCATTTCCCCCCCCCCAAATCTCATCTTATTTTACAATCCACCCTGAATGTCAAGGCTTAGGAGTAGAGAAGGAAAACAAAAAAAACAAAAAAAAAACAGAGAAGGATGAATTCCTCCGAATGTTTGACAGATGCAAATGATTTCCAAAGCTAGATTTTGCTCCATAGTACCCGCCGGCACCTGCGCCGCCTCGAGCTGCGATTGGGGCGACCACAAATTAAAAGGTTTCCCCCTCCTCCGACAGTGACTGATTTTTTTGGCATGTTTTAGTAAATCCCTCTAGTCTCTGGAACTTGCAGAAAAAATCGGGGTTTGTGCTCCTAGGAAGCAGAGATAGGACAAAATGGCCGCCTCCCTCTGGCCAGCGGCATCCATCGGCGAGGAATGGGGGCGATGTCGTCTCGCAGGGGATTGAACGCGGAGGGGGAGGAGCTTTTGTCGCCGTCTCCTCTAAAAGGATCAAGATTCGTCATCTGAAGTGTCGGAGCTGCTGGAGTCGGTCTCCGAGCACGGGCTTGGCTCGGGGGTCAGAGGGCCGCGCCAAGCGAACAGAGCACATCTTCGGGGTTGTCGGAGGAAGCCGTTTTGTCCCACGCCGTGTCTTTTTAGCTGTTAAAAAGGGGAAAAAAATTAAAAAATTAAATTAGAACTTCATCCTCATCTCTGAATTCTTCAAGTCACCCCGACACACAGCTCGCTCCTCGTGTATCACTGGCCCCTCCCCTTTTTAGATTGTAAGCTCCTCAGGGGCGGGGGCCCTCCTCACCATCTTGTCTTGAATTGTGATTGTAATGTCTTCCTTATATTGTAAAGCGCTGCGCAAACTGTTGGCGCGATATAAATCCTGTATAATAATAATAATAATCTTTGAAATAACAACAAAGACAACTTTAGCAATGTGTAGTGATGACAATCTACACGCAGATACTTCTAGATCATTGCCGGCTTTGCATTCCTTGTTTCTCTCTTCCTCCCCTAGTCTTCTCACAGCGGCCATTTTTACTAAGGGCAGACTAATCCATCCTTTACTTCCTGGAACTCTGGCACATGTGACTAGGACATGTGACCATGCACATCATCACAGGGGAGTAAAATTGCTTTCCCTGAGATTACAGATGAGATTTCCCAGCAATGCTCTGCTGATGTCATCTTCCCAGGATGCAACGCTTGGGGCACGCATGACATCACTAATGCCCAAGAGGACCAGGAAGTAGAAAAACAAGAATTGTAAGTAAAAGTGAATGTGAATGTGAGATGAGTTCATATTGGCATACAGAGCTGCGTGTTGAGGTGATTTTCAGTGCGAGGGGGGTAAAGGTCAGCTTTCAGTGCCTACAGGAAAAGGATTTTGCAATGTTCAGATCTGAAGGAGAAGAACGGCTGCACTCAAATGCTGGCAAACTTATTCATCCAGATAATAGTCGTCTGGCCACCTTCACCCATAAGGCAGGTCATAATTATAGAGGCCCCACCCCCTCCCTTGCCCGTTCCTCCAGTCAGTGCTGTCTAGATGAATAAAGTTACCAGCGTTTGAATTTTTCTCTGACTGCAGCTGATCTTGTTCTTTGGATCTGTGTAGTCTGTGGAGCATAGGCGACCCCCTGCTGCTTTCATAGGGTGACCCCATACTTGTGAAGAATGTGGAAGGACAAGAACCCAGCCAGTCCAATCTACAGCGTTGTCCTTCCTTCCTCACTGTATGCCGAGTCACATGACACCACCAGCAATGCATGCTGGGATGCACGTCTGGCCTGCTCTGTCACTGGCTGGAGGTGCGTCATTTCCTGCTGGACCCGGACACACAAACTCAACCAGTCGTGAATAACACACAAGGGCTGCCAACCGCGTGCGCGTTCCCTGGCTGCCATGCTGATCCTCCAGCTTCAATACCTTCCAGTCATTGTCTCCAAACAAAGAAGTTACACAGGAAATCTGAATTCTAGTTCTGGGAGGAAGTCCTGAAGGAGGTCAGAGGGAGCCAGGCAACTAGCATTCTCAAAAGCAGAGCTAAGACATGGCAGCCTCTGTATTTCTTTTATGACAGGTTTTCTGGAAGTCAATGAATGAAAGGGGCGGGGCCAGGATCAGTCAGGCTGGGGAGGAAAGTGCCAGATGATGCTGGACTTTCTCCCTCCAGGAAATGAGGCGGAGCTCTATCTGACTTGCTGCAGCTTCAAATGAGAAGCTCCCGGTGTGCAGTGACATCAGAGGAGAGGAGCCGACACAACTGTGCAAGACTGAAGGGGAGGACGGAGGTCAGATATGAGACTGAAGGGGAGGACGGAGGTCAGATAGAAGACTGAAGGGAAGGACGGAGGTCAGAGAGAAGACTGAAGGGAAGGACGGAGGTCAGAGAGAAGACTGAAGGGAAGGACGGAGGTCAGAGAGAAGACTGAAGGGAAGGACGGAGGTCAGAGAGAAGACTGAAGGGAAGGACGGAGGTCAGAGAGAAGACTGAAGGGAAGGACGGAGGTCAGAGAGAAGACTGAAGGGAAGGACGGAGGTCAGAGAGAAGACTGAAGGGAAGGACGGAGGTCAGAGAGAAGACTGAAGGGAAGGACGGAGGTCAGAGAGAAGACTGAAGGGAAGGACGGAGGTCAGAGAGAAGACTGAAGGGAAGGACGGAGGTCAGAGAGAAGACTGAAGGGAAGGACGGAGGTCAGAGAGAAGACTGAAGGGAAGGACGGAGGTCAGAGAGAAGACTGAAGGGAAGGACGGAGGTCAGAGAGAAGACTGAAGGGAAGGACGGAGGTCAGAGAGAAGACTGAAGGGAAGGACGGAGGTCAGAGAGAAGACTGAAGGGAAGGACGGAGGTCAGAGAGAAGACTGAAGGGAAGGACGGAGGTCAGAGAGAAGACTGAAGGGAAGGACGGAGGTCAGAGAGAAGACTGAAGGGAAGGACGGAGGTCAGAGAGAAGACTGAAGGGAAGGACGGAGGTCAGAGAGAAGACTGAAGGGAAGGACGGAGGTCAGAGAGAAGACTGAAGGGAAGGACGGAGGTCAGAGAGAAGACTGAAGGGAAGGACGGAGGTCAGAGAGAAGACTGAAGGGAAGGACGGAGGTCAGAGAGAAGACTGAAGGGAAGGACGGAGGTCAGAGAGAAGACTGAAGGGAAGGACGGAGGTCAGAGAGAAGACTGAAGGGAAGGACGGAGGTCAGAGAGAAGACTGAAGGGAAGGACGGAGGTCAGAGAGAAGACTGAAGGGAAGGACGGAGGTCAGAGAGAAGACTGAAGGGAAGGACGGAGGTCAGAGAGAAGACTGAAGGGAAGGACGGAGGTCAGAGAGAAGACTGAAGGGAAGGACGGAGGTCAGAGAGAAGACTGAAGGGAAGGACGGAGGTCAGAGAGAAGACTGAAGGGAAGGACGGAGGTCAGAGAGAAGACTGAAGGGAAGGACGGAGGTCAGAGAGAAGACTGAAGGGAAGGACGGAGGTCAGAGAGAAGACTGAAGGGAAGGACGGAGGTCAGAGAGAAGACTGAAGGGAAGGACGGAGGTCAGAGAGAAGACTGAAGGGAAGGACGGAGGTCAGAGAGAAGACTGAAGGGAAGGACGGAGGTCAGAGAGAAGACTGAAGGGAAGGACGGAGGTCAGAGAGAAGACTGAAGGGAAGGACGGAGGTCAGAGAGAAGACTGAAGGGAAGGACGGAGGTCAGAGAGAAGACTGAAGGGAAGGACGGAGGTCAGAGAGAAGACTGAAGGGAAGGACGGAGGTCAGAGAGAAGACTGAAGGGAAGGACGGAGGTCAGAGAGAAGACTGAAGGGAAGGACGGAGGTCAGAGAGAAGACTGAAGGGAAGGACGGAGGTCAGAGAGAAGACTGAAGGGAAGGACGGAGGTCAGAGAGAAGACTGAAGGGAAGGACGGAGGTCAGAGAGAAGACTGAAGGGAAGGACGGAGGTCAGAGAGAAGACTGAAGGGAAGGACGGAGGTCAGAGAGAAGACTGAAGGGAAGGACGGAGGTCAGAGAGAAGACTGAAGGGAAGGACGGAGGTCAGAGAGAAGACTGAAGGGAAGGACGGAGGTCAGAGAGAAGACTGAAGGGAAGGACGGAGGTCAGAGAGAAGACTGAAGGGAAGGACGGAGGTCAGAGAGAAGACTGAAGGGAAGGACGGAGGTCAGAGAGAAGACTGAAGGGAAGGACGGAGGTCAGAGAGAAGACTGAAGGGAAGGACGGAGGTCAGAGAGAAGACTGAAGGGAAGGACGGAGGTCAGAGAGAAGACTGAAGGGAAGGACGGAGGTCAGAGAGAAGACTGAAGGGAAGGACGGAGGTCAGAGAGAAGACTGAAGGGAAGGACGGAGGTCAGAGAGAAGACTGAAGGGAAGGACGGAGGTCAGAGAGAAGACTGAAGGGAAGGACGGAGGTCAGAGAGAAGACTGAAGGGAAGGACGGAGGTCAGAGAGAAGACTGAAGGGAAGGACGGAGGTCAGAGAGAAGACTGAAGGGAAGGACGGAGGTCAGAGAGAAGACTGAAGGGAAGGACGGAGGTCAGAGAGAAGACTGAAGGGAAGGACGGAGGTCAGAGAGAAGACTGAAGGGAAGGACGGAGGTCAGAGAGAAGACTGAAGGGAAGGACGGAGGTCAGAGAGAAGACTGAAGGGAAGGACGGAGGTCAGAGAGAAGACTGAAGGGAAGGACGGAGGTCAGAGAGAAGACTGAAGGGAAGGACGGAGGTCAGAGAGAAGACTGAAGGGAAGGACGGAGGTCAGAGAGAAGACTGAAGGGAAGGACGGAGGTCAGAGAGAAGACTGAAGGGAAGGACGGAGGTCAGAGAGAAGACTGAAGGGGAGGACGGAGGTCAGATAGGAGACTGAAGGGAAGGACGGAGGTCAGATATGAGACTGAAGGGAAGGACAGAGGTCAGATATGAGACTGAAGGGAAGGACTGAGGTCAGATATGAGACTGAAGGGAAGG